CTCCAGTACCTCCAGCAGCACCAGCAGCACCTCCAGCAGCACCAGCACCAGCAGCACTAGTAGCACCTCCAGCAGCACCAGCACCAGCAGCACCTCCAGCAGCTCCAGGACCTCTAGTAGTAGCAGGGCCTCCAGCGGGAGGCACCTCAACACCAGGAGCTCCACTCCGGAGGCTGCAGCGCCGAGCGTACCACTCACGTAGCCGCTGAGGGGAGGGAGGCTTCGGCTGCGACACTGCACCCGTAGGGCCACCAGCCCCAACTCCAGCAAACCCCCCAGCTCCAGTAGCCCCACGACGGAGGCTGTAACTCTGGGAGTACCACTCACGCAGCTGCTGTGAAGAGGGAGCGCCAACAGGCGCAGTACGGTAAGTCTCATAACCCCCAGCCTCAACTCCTCTAGGCTCAGCACCCCCGGTCGCGGCACCCCCAGGCTCAGCACCCCCAGGCTCAGCTCCCGCAGTCTCCGCACCCCCAGACTCGGCACCCCAGTATCCGCACCCCCAGGCTCAGCACCCCCAGTCTCAGTACCCCCAGACCCAGCACCACCAAGCTCAGCACGCTCAGCACCTCGCGCAGGACCAGAGTCAACAGCTACCTCTACAGGCTTGACCGGGTCTACCTAGGAAACACCTGAGGGAGCAGCACCCTGGGGAGGAAGGGGGTCTACCGACGGGACACCTGGGGTGAGGAAGAGCGGCGGGGGGGGGAGCGGGGCAGTGCGGTAGGGGAAGAGATGGTAAAAGGGTACCGACTCGTCAAAGGTGACGTCCTGAGAGGGGAAGACACGGCGCGAGGTTGGGTGGTAAAACTGCCAGCCAGGCACGTCAGGGACGAAGCCAAGGAAGACACAGGGAACGGCACGGGAGGAGAGCTTGTCCGCGGACGGATCGCGGACAAAGGCTCGACATCCCCGGACTCGGAACACCGACGCATCGCCAACCTCCCCCGTCCAACGCAGGGTGGGCGAGGTCTCCGGAGCAGAGACACGGGGCTAGAGGTTGAGCTGATGCGCAGCGTACTGCACTGCAAACGGCCACAGGAAATGGGGGGCAGCCGCATGGATCATGGAGGTACGAGCGACCTCCATGACTAGACCAATGCGGCGCTCAGCAACCCAATTCTGCTGCGGAGAGGCCGGGAGAGTGAACGTCTGGCGGATGCCGTGCTCCGCACAGTAGGCTGCCAAGAGGTCAGAGGAAAACTCACCACCTCTATCAGAGTGCAGACGCATGACAGGAAAGTCCGACTGGAACCGCTGGCGGAGCTGGAGACGAGCAGCGCGGATCCAGGGGATCAAGACATCAGGGACCTCACCCTTGGTACGCAAGGGGAAGACCGTGGTGTAGCGCGTGTAGTCGTCGACGACCAGCAGAAAGTACCGCTCGTGGCCCTGTCCCCGGATGCGGGCTGGGCCCCACACGTCCAGGTGGAGAGTCTGCAGGGGAGCCTCTGTGGGAGGGAACGAGGAGGAGTGAGGAGCAGCGCGCTGCCGCCCCTCGACACAGGGAAGAGAAGGAGGAGCAGGCGACGGTGGGAGGGGAGGGAGAACCCTGGGAAGCCCAGACACAAGGTACCGGGAGTGCATGCCAGGAAGGCGCTGCACTGACGGGTGATCAAGGCGGTGGTGCCAGAGCGTTGTCAAGGCGAAAGAAACAGCGCTGCGCCTTGTGAAACCTCCCACAACTCTGGCCAGTGCGGTCACCTATGCGGATGACGTACGGGCAGGTACCTCCACCCCCAGACCCCCCACGCTGAGAGTACCACTCACGAAGTTGCTGGGGCGACTGGGGCTTGCTGGGACGCTGCTGCTGCTGCCTCTGGCCCCCACCGAACCCGCCACGCTGCACTGCTCCACCGCGCCCGCCACCAGCTCCACCGCCGCCGCCACTGCCACCACCACCCCCGCCACCTCCACCACCGCCGCCGCCACCACCCCCGGCTCTGCCACTGACCCCCCCACCACCAGCACCACTCCCACCACCGCCGCCACCGCCGCCGCCCCCTCCACCCCCTCCACCACCACCTCCCCCGCCGCCACCTCCGCCACCCCGGCCCCCCTTGCCCCTGCCGCCCTTGCGCCTCCCACTGGGAGCGAACGCAGCTCCGGCCCCCTCAGCACCGAGGAAGTCGACAGCAGCAGCAGATGCAATGGAGGGGAGAAGGGGGGAGGGGGAACATCCCTCAAATAGGGAGTGCGAGGTTCGCCACGAGAGGCACCTACAGCTACAATGCTCTTCTCAGCTGCAAGGAGTTCCTTCTCGAGCAGGTCGACAGTGAGACCGGTGGGTGAGAGAGCGAGAAAGTGGTCCCTGACAGAGCGGAGAGAGTCAGGGAGGCGAGTGACGAGGTGGTAGAGGGTGAGGTACATCGGGGGAGGGTTCTTGGCTAGGAAGTCGGGGGGGAGCGCGGCACGGTAGCGGAGATCACTAGTACGAAGGTGAGTGATGAGGTCAGCTACAGTGGCGAAGGCAGAGAGATCCGGGAAGAGGTAGGGCAGTGAGAGACGGCCTATCGCAGCAGTAGCAGGGGAGGAGTAGCGGGCAACTACAACATCATACAACTCCTTATCAGTCTTATGCTGGCCGAAGTGCTCGCGCTCATCTAACGGCAGGTGGCTGCGAACGGCTAGGCGAGCATGGGCGTCACGAGTCTGCCACTGTGAGCGAGCAGTACTGTCAGCTGTAGCAGCAGGTGCGGGAGCAGCGCCGGACGTGTGGTCATACAGGGAAACGTCGTCCTTGGCAGTGATCTGGAGGAACAGGTGCAGGTCATCGAGCCAGACATCAAACTTAATCGGTCGGCCCTCAGCGTCAAAGGTGAGAACAGTAGGACTGGCCATAGTGGCAGTAGCAGTAGCAGTAGCAGTAGCAGCTATAATAGTAGCCGTAGTAGTAGTAGCAGGAACAGGAACAGTAGTTGCTGCAAGTGGGGCGGCGTGGCTCGGTCAGGGCGGCGCGATTCGGGCGGCGCGACTCGAGCGGCGCGGCTCGGGCAGGGCGGCGCGGCGCGGCTCGGGCTAGGCTACGCGGCACGGCGCAGCGGTGGGCCTGCGCTGGGGCGGCTGTAGCGGGCGGTCCGCGGTTGTGCGTGTGCTGCAGTCGCACGCGGGCGGCGGCCTACGGGCGGGGCTGCGACACTCTGGACGGCCAGAAGGGCCGGTCGACGGGCAGCTAGCGGGCTGCTCGTGGGCGGCGCTGGTCGTGCGGGCGGCTAACAGTCGGCGCGCGCGCAGAAAAGGCCGCGCGCGGGCTGCTAGCGGGCTACGCGCGCGCTAAAAAAAAAGCCGCGCGCAGCACTAGCGAGCTGCACACGGGCAGCAGGAGAAGGAGAGGCGCACTAGGGCGCACTAGGAGAGAGGCGCTCGAGGGCGCTACGTCATTAAGGCGCTCGAGGGCGCTTCTAGCGGAAGGTGGGCCCTTAGGTAAGCGATCCTAGGTCTAAACCTACGCTCTTAATACCATGTCAGAATCAAGAAGTGATGAACTAGAAACATTTTGGGAGTACAAGTAAGAAACCCTAGAGAAATGTACCCCCTAAAGGCTAACCCACCGTAGCCTACAGAACAGTAACATATACAATGTTTGACACGCACAAGTGAAGATGACACGTGGGTCTCGGCTGACTCACTACAAGGGCACTCGGTACTTCGGCAGTATCTTTCTCGCCGACATGTGCCTAATATTGACCACCTTTCTTAAAGAAAGGGTGCACATTCCTGGGGGTGGTTTTTGGGGGCATTGTTAGAGCACACCCTTTGATGGGGTCTGATTGGACAACGAAATTATACGGAAAGCTGGTGCGAGGGATTCAATTTTGGCTGGCGAGGCCAACCAATTTCGTACGGAGATCGGGCTGGGCAATAACCCCGCAGAACGGCGGAAACCAAGCATCTGGCGCAACCAGGGAAGGAAACCATGTGACAAACAACAACCTGACAGTGAAAGCAAACATACATCTAGACCATCACCATTACACATAAACTAAGCGTGTTTTCCCTATCGCCACGACGATAGAGCCCGGATGGTAGAGTCTCCGCCCCCCCACGCGTACACGCAAGCCTCGTCGTATGTTGCTGGCAATATCGCAGCTAGCTCGCGAAGTTATAAACGGCGGGCGTATCGTTTTCCCGTCATCGCTGCCCTATTGCCGAGTCGCCACCTCGCAACCGCCTCCCCAACTCCCAAGTTTCCCAGCCTCCTCGGTCTCTTTCCTCCCCGCCTCGCCACCTCATCGGCGCATCGCCGCCACATCGCGCCTCGCACTATGTGTTCCCTAATCCGCTAAACTCGCCTCCGCACTGCTTCTCGCCTTGGCCGTGCGACCTCCCGTGCCGCGTCGCCTCGTCGTTGGCGCATCACCGCCAAATCGCCGCCTGCCGCATCGCCGCCATCGCGTTCGATTCCACCGCCGCCTTGTCGCCTCCAGTGACGAAACCCATTCTCTTTTCCCTATCCTCCCATCTGTTCCGCATGTCGCGCTTCCCCTTCGCCTCAGGTCGCTCCTCCCCTTCCCCCCAGGTCGCACTTCCTCTTTCCCCCAGATCGCATTTCCCCTTTCCCCCAGGTCGCTCCACCCCTTCCCCCCAGGTCGCAGTTCCCCTTTCCCCCAGTTCGCACCTCCCCTTCCCCCCAGGTCGCACTTCCTCTTTCCCCCAGATCGCATTCGCACTTCCCCTTTCCCCTAAGTCGCACTTCCCCTTTCCCCCAGGTCGCACTTCCCCTTTCCCCCAGTTCGCTCCTCCCTGTTCAGCCTTTCACAGAGCACCTTTTCACTCCTTCACAATGCACTACCCCTCCCTTCACTTTGCTTCAATTGCCCTCCAATCCCTTCTATTCTCTTCGCTTCCCTTCCCTCCCCTCCCTTCTTGACGTCCTCCCTGCACTTCCCTTTCCCCCTGTCCTTCTCTCTCCCCCCTGTCCTTCTCTCTCCCCCCTGTCCTTCTCTCTCCCCCCTGTCCTTCTCTCTCCCCCCTGTCCTTCTCTCTCCCCCCTATCCGCCTCACCCCATTCCGCCTTCCCATCCCTCACCTCCCCATCCCACATTTCCCCAATCACATCTCCCCATCCACATCTCCCCATCCCACATCTCACGCCATTCCGCCTCACCCCATTCCGCCTCACCAAATTCTTCCTCACCCCATTCCTCCTCACCCCATTCCGCCTCACCCCATTCCTCCTCACCCCATTCCGCCTCACCCCATGCCTCCTCACCCCATTCCGCCTCACCCCATTCCTCCTCACCCCTTTCCTCCTCACCCCATTCCTCCTCACCCCATTCCTCCTCACCCCATTCCGCCTCACCCCATTCCTCCTCACCCCATTCCGCCTCACCCCATTCCTCCTCACCCCATTCCGCCTCACCCCATTCCTCCTCACCCCATTCCGCCTCACACCAGTCCTCCTCACCCCATTCCGCCTCACCCCATTCCTCCTCACCCCATTCCGCCTCACCCCATTCCTCCTCACCCCATTCCTCCTCACCCCATTCCTCCTCACCCCATTCCTCCTCACCCCACTCCGCCTCACTCCATTCCTCCTCACCCCATTCCGCCTCACCACATTCCTCCTCACCCCATTCCGCCTCACCCCATTCCTCCTCACCCCATTCCGCCTCACACCATTCCATCTCACCCCATTCCTCCTCACCCCATTCCGCCTCACCCCATTCCTCCTCACCCCATTCCGCCTCACGCCATTCCTCCTCACCCCATTCCGCCTCACCCCATTCCTCCTCACCCCATTCCGCCTCACACCAGTCCTCCTCACCCCATTCCGCCTCACCCCATTCCTCCTCACCCCATTCCGCCTCACCCCATTCCTCCTCACCCCATTCCTCCTCACCCCATTCCTCCTCACCCCATTCCTCCTCACCCCACTCCGCCTCACCCCATTCCTCCTCACCCCATTCCGCCTCACCCCATTCCTCCTCACCCCATTCCGCCTCACCCCATTCCTCCGCACCCCATTCCGCCTCACACCATTCCTCCTCACCCCATTCCTCATCACCCCATTCCTCCTCACCCCATTCCTCCTCACCCCATTCCTCCTCATCCCATTCCTCCTCACCCCTCATCCCTTGTGCTTTTCTGCACCAGGGAGCTGCTTGGAGCGCTGTGGGTGGATGGCGGTGGGCAGAGTCCCACAGCAGAGGCGGTCGTGGTGGTGCTGCTGGAGTCTCTTCTGCATTCCTCCCTTACCCTGCATTCCTCCCTTCTGCCCTCCCTCACATTCTTCATTCTTCAGTCCCATGTTCCTCCCGTCATGCATCCTTTCCTACATTTGTTCCTCCCTTCATCCATCCCTCCCTTCGTCTGTTCCTCCTTTCCTCCCTACCTCCCTTCTTCCATTCCTCCTTCCTTCTGTTCCTCCCTCTGTGTCTCTTTATTTCTTCCTGTTCGCAGGTGCTTGCCTGTCAATTATCAATTTTTTGTACCGGTATGCTTACCAGCTGATTCAGCCACGAGCATCTGATTTTCACAGTCGTTTTTGTACACGTCCTCCCCCTACGCATTTGGTTCAGGAATGTTGGCTGTTGCATAGTGCCGTACAGGCCCTCAGATTCGTTTTGGGGCTGTCTGATTCGTCAGACTTAGTACAAATTTATAGTCTGATTAATCAGACTTGGTACAAAAAAAAACTCTGAAATTTCAGAGTTCATGAGTATAAAAGGCTGATTACACAGAGTTCACATCAGTAGGGAAGCTGATGGATCAGCCTAAAACGAGGTGGTGATTGCGCCGTGCGACACTGCTGTCACCGTTTCAGCTTGACCGACAGGACTGAATTGTACTTGCAGCGCTCATCGCGGCTGTTAGTGCAGATTTCGCACAGGAATACTAGAGTAGGTGCCCGCTAAAACGCTCATGGATCAGAGTACACTCTGAGAAAAAGGCTGAAAAATCAGACAAGGCCTTTAATTTTTTTCTGAATATTCAGAGTTCACAGCAAAAAAAACTCTGAACTTTCAGAGTTCACTAAAAAAAAAGGCTGAAATATCAGACTTTTTAAGGCATATCAGAGAAATTTCTCTGACTTCTGGGCGCTTGGTGCCGTACTACAAGTTATTAGCCATGCCAATGTTGAATGCTTATTATTATACTAATATCATTTTATCCGTGGAGTAGTGAGAGTGACCATTGACCACCTACGAAGTGCAACAATCAAGTCAAAGATAACAAAATTCAGTCACTGTTATGGTTCTTCCCATCCCCTCTTGTCTGCATACACAGCAGCACAAAACAAGGACTTGTGGTTCCCTCCCTACACCTGGTGCTGGGCACATGTACACTGCATGGGGGGTAACGGGGGTGAGTGAAGGGGAAACACAGTAAGTAGGGGTTGAATAGGGGTGTGATCAGGGGGGAACAGAATGTGCAGGGAAAAACAGAGTGCAAGTGAGACAGTGAGCAGAAGGGAAGAGATCGAGCAGGGGGAAAGAGAGCAGGGGGGAAGAAAGTAAGCAGGGGGAACGAGAGTGAGCATGTTGAAAGGGAGTGAACAGGGGGGAAGAGGGTGGGCATGGGGAAAGGGAGTGAACAGGGGGGAAGAGGGTGGGCATGGGGAAAGGGATTGAACAGAGTGGGAGAGGGTGGGCATGGGGAAAGGGAGTGAACAGGGGGGAAGAGGGTGGGCATGGGGAAAGGGATTGAACAGGGGGGGAGAGGGCGGGCATGGGGAAAGGGATTGAACATGGGGGGAGAGGGTGGGCATGGGGAAAGGGATTGAACAGGGGGGAAGAGGGTGGGCATGGGGAAAGGGAGTGAACAGGGGGGAAGAGGGTGGGCATGGGGAAAGGGATTGAACAGAGTGGGAGAGGGTGGGCATGGGGAAAGGGAGTGAACAGGGGGGAAGAGGGTGGGCATGGGGAAAGGGATTGAACAGGGGGGGAGAGGGTGGGCATGGGGAAAGGGATTGAACATGGGGGGAGAGGGTGGGCATGGGGAAAGGGATTGAACAGGGGGGGAGAGGGTGGGCATGGGGAAGAGAGTGAGGAGGGGGAAACATAGTGAGCAAGGGGAAAGAGAGTGAGCAAGAGGAAAGAGAGTGAGGAAACGGAAGGAGAGTGCGCAAAGGAAACAGATTGAGGAGGGGGGGAGAGAGTGAGGAGGGGGAAAAAGGCATTGCCAAAACGGATCGCTGCAGTGATTGGAAGGGGCAATTGGGGTGAGGAGGTGAAATGAACGACTGGGAAGGTGAAAGGGAGGAATGGGAGGGTACAAAGGAGTTGATTAGGCTTGGCGGCTGGTAGGATGGGAGGAAGGAAGTGGAAAGCGGAGTGCTTTGTTTCACGGGAGAAGCAGCGCGAGGGGAAGCGGGGATGCAATGCGAGGGACACGGAGAAGCAGCGCGAGGGGAAGCGGGGATGCAGCGCGAGGGGAAGCGGGGAAGCTGTGTGAGGGACGCGGAGAAGCAGCGTGAGGGGAAGCGGGGAAGCAGCGCGAGGGAAATCGGGGATGCAGCGCGAGGGATGCGATGAAGCAGCGCGAGTGGAAGCGGGGAAGCAGTGCGAGTGGAGGGAGGGTAGAACGAGGGAAGGGAACTCGGAGGGAAAGACGGATGTAACGCGAGTCGCTCTGCGTAAAAGACGAGAGCGCGGCACTTGGGTAATTTCACTGGGCTGCAGGATTGCGAGTCGTGACGGTGGAACGGGGCAGATGCTTGAACGTGTTTGCACGTGGTCGCGTCGATTTCTCTTCATTTCAGCGGTCGCGCCTGACGGTTCTAGTGACGTTTGTTGTGCTTATTTATCTGCGATCGACGGGTGCGACTATTTTCAAAGCGAGTGCTTCGTCCGCCATATACGAAAGGCGCATGATGCGTGCGCCGTCGCGAATGCTTTATCGTCAACACCACTAATGCCGAGATGATGGCGGTGCGATGTGATTGTGGTTGCTGTGCTGTTCCCTGCTTGCAATATGAGAGTCGTATGCATCATGGTTCACAAACTGCCTGGTTGTGACTCAAGTTCCCAACTCCAACACAACTGACGACGGGGGGGAGACAACCCGCGCAAGTCCGCCAACACTGAAGTGTGTTTCGCGTCGAACTCCCAACACAAACATGGTAACCACGTGGAGGCAAGTTGTAATTGTTGGGCTGAAAAATAGCCCTTAGGATCTTTGCAGAGGAGAACTCTTGGGTAGAAACTTGTAATAGCGGAAGCGTTTTAATGAGGATTGTGAACCAACCTTGCACTGGTGTGTGAGAGCAAAGTAGATTAAATTAAACAAGCAAATACAAGGATTTATATAAGAGTACAGGGAATACGAATAGATAGATAGATAACTGTATTGCTGTTGCGGTTCGATATAGTGCGACTCGGGCAACTGCTCTGTAACGAGTCAGTTGTGTGTCCTTAACTGTCGCGCTGTAATTGTTGAGTCAAAGGTCAGCGACCCTTGACTTTCTCGTAACCTCCAGGCGGTTACCCTCAACCTCCGAGGTTGACTCGATGCTTCGATTGGGACTGCTTCGCTTGGTGCCTTGGATTTTGATACGACAGAAGCGCACTTGGGACTTATTGTTTCCAACACTCCCCTTCGCTTCTGGAGTGTCGCTGCTGGTGACGTGGCCTTGTCCAGTCAGCATCATGCAGTATTCGAACTTCTGCTTTCCGAGTTTCTTGGTCAAGTAATCGGCTGCCATCTCGGATGTTGGACAGTACGACAGATCGAGTTTCCCTTTTTCTATCTCGTCCTTCACGAAGAAATAGCGCAGGGCGATGTGTTTCGTCCTGTTTGCGAAGCCGTTTTTGTTGGCGATGCGAATTGCCGACTGGTTGTCGCAGAACACGGTGAAGCTGGGTAAATCGGCTAGCTTCGCTTCTTCCAGTAGTTCGCGAAGGTAAAGTCCCTCCTTGGTGGCTGAGCAGAGTGCAATATATTCTGCTTCTGCTGAAGATAGTGCGATTAACTCCTGCTTGCTCGACTGCCAGGAGATAGGACCGATAGGCTCAAGGCGGTAGACATAGCCGGTGCGTGAGCGCCTGTTGTCGGTGTCGCCGGCGTGATCGGCGTCGACGTAGCCGATTAGCTTGGTCGGTGTTGTCACGTTTTTGTGATAAGTTAGTCCGATCGTCGCGGTGCTGACGAAGTAGTAGAGAGCACGATCGAGTTCCGCCAGATGCTCTGCTTCGGGTCTCTTGAGATAGGTAGCGAGCTGACTCGCGGAGTAGGATAGGTCGGGACGGCATGTGACTGCTGCGAAAAGAAGGCATCCAAGCTTCTTCTGATAGTCGCGTATGCCGGCGGGTTTAAGTAGAGTAGATTGCCCCTTTTCGGTTCGTGACGCGTAGCGATAAGGCGTGGAGATGGCGCTTGGTGTGAGACGAAAGCGTTTCGCGATAGTGTCGGCGTACTTCTCGGCGCTTAGGTAGATTGCGTTTTCTTCCTCACGGATGTTGAGCCCGAGGTATTGCGTAACCGTAGAAGAGACCGTGAGCGTGAGGTCTTTCTGGAGCTCCCCTTCGAACCACGTGGCGATGTCGTCGGTTGACCCAATGTAGAGGAGATCGTCCACATAGACGATTAGTAGGACGTAATCGCCTCCTTTTGTGAGGCGATACATGCCCTGGTCATGCGGGAGTTGTTTGAAGCCGATGCGGATGAGGCGGGCGTGTAGGTACTGCTGCCACAGTCGCGGTGCCTGCTTGATCCCATAGAGTGATTTGAGTAGTTGACACACTCGGTTGGGTTCGCCGTGGGAGCCGTGCGGGAGTTCGACGAAGATTTCTGCATCCACAGGTGCGTAGAGAAATGCGTTCGCAACGTCGATTTGTCGCAATTTCTTTTTCTTCATGGCGGCGACGGCGATGAGAATTCGGAGTGAGGTGTGGCGACTGACCGGAGCGAAGGTTTCGGTGTAATCTCTTCCGTGCTCCTGGTCGAAGCCACGTACGACCCAGCGGGCTTTGAATTTGTCGATGGCGCCACCAGCTTTCGTCTTCACACGGAAGACCCATTTCCCGGTAAGAATGTTTTTATTTTGAGTTACGCCGATGGGAACAATTTTCCAGGTGTTGCCCTCCTCCAGTGCCTTCAGCTCTTTGTCCATAGCTTCACGCCATTTCTCCCTGTGTTCCCCCCCCAGAGCCTGCTGAACCGTCGCAGGCTCCTTAGGAATGTCTGCGCCATGGACTGCGGTGACGAGACCAACGATTTGCAGCCCAGTCTGTGAGTATCGAGGGAGTTCTGGATCCTCGGGATAAGCTGCTTCGTCTCCCGTTTCTGGGTCGGGCATGAAATTTGGCCCTACCCTTTCTGCTTCGTTGGTGTTGACTGTCACAGGTGTTACGTAACCATCGTCGGCGAAACGGTAGAAGATTTCGGCGTTGTTACTGTCGCGAGGATTATCCTCATCCATGGGCACGTCGACGGAGCAGTATGGGAGAGGTCCGGCTTCTTCCGAGGCGTTGTCGACGTTCTGTTCATCCCAGTCTGCTTCGTCCGCTGCTGACGCGAAGGCTCGGTCACCACGAAAACCACTGGTGAGGTCCCGATTCTCGTGCAAGTTGGCGAGGTACGTCTGAAGGGTGAGTCTTTCGTAGAAGATCACGTCACGTGCTGCTACTGTTTCCTTTGTGTGGACGTCGAAGATTCTCCATGCGTTGTAATTTTTCTCGATGCCGAGGTGTAGTCCCCACTGTGCCCGTTGTGAAAATCTTCCCGCTCGTGCTTCTGGGGGTCTGTACTGTACCATGCACCCGAAAACTCGTAACATTTTCGTGCTGCCCTGCTTCCCTGTCCACAGCAGATGCGGTGATGCGTTGTTCGGAAGTGACGATGACGACAACAAGTTGTGCAGCATGACAGCGTGGTCCATTGCTGCTGGCCACTGGTGGTTGGGTAGCCGCATGCCACGTAACAGTTTGCGCATGCTGTTCTGCAGGGTCCTGTTCAGTCGTTCTGCAACACCTTGCTGCTGATGTGCGTAGGGAAGGGAGAGGAGTTGCTTGATCCCCCTTTCCGCCAAGAACTGCTTGAAGCGGTGAGAGGTGTACTCGCCACCTCCGTCTGACTGGAAATTTTTCAGTTGTGTTCCAGACTCTCTCTCTGCTATCGGTAGCCAGGCGGCGAATGCTGCGAGCGCCATGTCGCGGCTGGGTAGGTTGCGATGCCAGACGTATCGAGTGGCGGCGTCGATGAAGGTGATGGTGTAGTTGTAGTTGACTTGTCCTGGTTCGCGATTGTAGAGGATGTCGCTGTAGACCTTTTCGAGTGGTGCGTACGCTGGAGCGCTCGGGTTGTGATGTGAAGCAAACGGTCGATGAGGTAAGTCAGCTTCGGGACATAGAAGGCAGGTCCCTCGTGCCTTCTGGAGTTCTCTGCCATCGGGTAGAAGTAGAGAGTCTTTGTCGAGGACTCCTGCTCTTATCGTGTTATTCAAAACTGTGTTGCTTGGATGTCCTGTGCGTGCGTGCCAGATCTCTTCAGAGGCGCGGTGTCCAGGTGAACGCTGATATGCGTCGGAGTTGGAGTAAAAGCTGGCGACGAGGTTGGCGCTTCGGTGGACTTCACGTTGAGTCGGATTCAGCTGTTGTGCGGGTGTTGGTGGTGCTTCGTCGACTGTGACTGGTGTCGTTGTTCCTGCTGCTGCTGATGTTGTTGCTGCTGCCGATGTTGTTGCTGCTGCCGATGTTGTCGCTGTTGCCGATGTTGTCGCTGCTGCCGATGTTGTCGTCTCTGCTTCTTGTTGAATCGTTGCTAACGCTCTTGTTCGCTCTGCTTCAGGGATAGTGTGGGAGTACCAGAAACCTCCCGGGCTGAAGTCGGGGTCGAGATCCGGAGGGTGTGTCCAATCAGCAAAGTTCACAATGGCGTCGCTGTCTGCAGTGCCGAGGTCGGGAGCGAAGTCGAGGACGAAGACATTGTTCTTCAGCACTGCTTTCCCGATGTAGAGACCGCCTCTCCCGTGGTAAAGCTTGAACTCCTGGGTCGTGCTGTCGGCTTCCAGATGAATTCCTTTCGCCATCAACTGGCTAACGCTCAGTAAGTTGTAGCCGAGTCCTTCAGCGATGAGTACCTTAGACATGTGCAGTATGACATTTGTTTCTCTTGACTGAAGCTATACCACTCCTTGTCTTCGTGTGCGCAGGTTTTGGTTGTTGGCAACCGTGATGATTACTTCCCGTTGGAGTCGATGTTCGCGTTGTACGAAACGCCCGGACGAGCACATGTGTTGCCCGCAGCAACTGTCCAAGAACCAGGTGTCTTGGCCGGACGGTTCACTTTGAGCGATAGCGGCGTAAGTCGGATTTGGATGGAGTGATTCGCGACGAGGCGTCCTGTTGTCGAGCTCCTCTTCCGGTGAGTAATGGGGTGGTGACTCTGTTATGCAAGAGTCGTTTATCTTGACCATGCAGTTGACTATATGTCTTGCTCCTTGCGCAGGTTGTCCAGTTGAGGTTGTTGAAGCTTGAATCGTGGTTGTCGAGCGTGCTTGTGTCGAAGCAACTTGGGTGCTTGAAGGCCGCAGTTGTCGCTGTGGTGTTGTTTGTCGAGACGGGCAGTGCGTGCGTGGGTGTCCTGATGTCTTGCAGATGTGACAAAATGGAGGTACTAACTTCGGCTGCTGCTGTCGATTGTTGTAGTAGTTGTGTCGTCGCTGAGTATGGAAAGCAAACTCCGGTGCTAATGTCCTTTTCTTGTGTCTTTCTTCTTGTAGGTCCATATCCTGCTGCTCGGCGTGAATTTCTGCGCA